ACTAGGCCTCCTCCAAATTCCATCTGCCGGCCAATGTCGGCTGGCGACTCCTCGGGGGAGGGCCTTCTATGTGGCTGCTCCGGCCCTCTGGAACGATCTCCCCGTTGAGATCCGGACTACCCTTCCAGCCTTCCGCAAAGCAACTAAGACCTGGCTATTCCGGGAGGCCTGGGGCTGTTGAACTATCCAGCCCCATTCGAGGTTACGGCTGTTGTTGAATTTTAAATTGCTGATTTTTATTTTATTTTTGTATCCCCTCCTCTTTTTATTCTGAGCCGCCCTGAGTCTCTCGGGAATAGGGCGGCATACAAACCAAATAAAATCTAAATCTAAATCTAACCACAAGAGCCACCGTGCTCCAACCTTAATGCTTGTTCGCTTGAAATTTTGGGCTTCGACAATTTAGAACTTCACCGTCTTCGATCCAACCTAAGCATAGTACATAAAATTATCTGCTACAATGTCCTACCCGTCACTGACTATTTCAGTTTCAACCACAACAACACATGAGCTCACAATAGATACAAACTTATGGTAAACAGCTCCAAACTTGATTGCAGAAAATACGACTTCAGTAACAGAGTGGTCAATGCCTGGAATTCATTACTTGACTCTGTGGTTTCTTCCCCAAACCCCCAAAATTTTAACCCTAGACTGTCAACTGTTGACCTCACCTCATTCCTAAGAGGTCCAGAAGGGGTGCGCATAAGCACACCAAAATGCCTACCATTCCTGTTCTAATATTCCCTTGTATTCATATACATTTCATGTATTCATAATCATGTCTACACTTATATCTGTTATCTAATTCATATTTGATGGGGAAAAATGCAATGCTTGATACACATTGAGGGTGGTAAGTTATTTGCATGTAGCACTTAAGGAGAACATGCACTATACTGTGCAAATAATGACATGTGTAATATGGTTCTTCTCTGCAGGGCCATCCTGGAATACCTGGCTTCATGGGTCCCCCTGGGAATCCAGGCCCAGCTGTAAGATTTTCCTTTGCATGCTAATTTTTAATCTTTATCTACTAGAATGTCAGGCAAGTTGTTGTTGCAAATCTATTTGAGATGATGGTGATGTGATGCGGATGATTCAATACTTTTGATCATTGTTGATTATAGTTCATTGTTGACGTTACTGAGGATGATTCAATTATTGATGATGATTTCAATAATAATTTGGATGATAATATTGTTCATGATGATGTCAGGATTCCCAGTTAACACCCCTAATAAAAGAAGACTCTGAAGCTTGAAGTTCCTCAAAGTTCCATTTTATTAGAGATGTCCTGTTGGCACATCTGGGAAAACCCAAATCCGAAAGTTTCTAGGTTTTCCCCACCCAATTGAAAGTTCATTATTTTGCCCCCACACCCACAAGTCCATCACATGGTCCAATCTCCCACTGCCATCCTGGCAGT